TGTCAGAACCTGAAAGCATATTTTTCATCTAAAATTTTATTTCAAATTTAGTTAGGTAGCAGTGGTACATTTGCCAATGCCAGGTGTAAGTCTCTTCGCAGTATATTGTGTGTCACCGCTGTTCTAGAAAAGTGCCTCAGTTTTCAAAGTAAGCTCTTTGTCCACCTGAGCACACATGACCTTCTTGGATGGCACACTCCCATTTGGGGTCCAGAGAAGGTCACTGTACCAAGTGGCCTTTTATAGAAGGAATCTTCTCCTCTCTCTTTCTCCCAGGCAGAAGTACCACCTCAAACGAGGCCAACTGGACTGAATAATCTGGCCTTTCTCCAGGGTTCCTGCCTGCTCTGGGGAACCCAGGCTGTTCAGTATGAATCATATGGGGCTGGTGGGTTCTGTCTTTCCATGTGGGTTGAAAAAATCACACTTCTTATTTCATTTTTAGCCACCTCATGCCAGGAGCAGTGGGTTTATGGAAGAACATAGTGGGAAGAACACAGAACATGGTATCGAGGCCAGTTGTATTTCCATTTTATTGCTCCCCTTCCCACACTCCAGCCAAACTGAGTCACACCTACACCATTTCCTCATTTATTCCTCCGTTCACACCCACACCATTTCCTCATTTATTCCTTCATCCAGATTGTTCCCACTGGAACCCTGCTCCATATTCTTGAGGTACCCATCCCTTGGACCTCATCCTTCAAAGCCTGGATCATATGTCATCTTCTTCAAGAAGGCACTCTAAGAGTCCTTGACCTCCTGTGAGATTTCCCACTGCGGAGTCCCCACAGCATTTGCAGGGGCATAGGTTCTGGATTCAGACATATCTGGGTTCAATCCAGTTGAATGACCTTGGGAACATGACCTGTCCTCTCTGAATCTCAGTCTACTTGTCTCTAAGGTAAGGAGGATAACTGCACTTACATCATGGGGTTGTTGAGCCAAGAAGATGAGATCATGCATGCAAAGCCTTTGACACTGTGACTGACGTATGGCCAACACTCAATAAATGGGGATGGTTATTGTTAGTAGAGTCACATGTGCAGTGTCTCATATCTCTGCACACTACCCTACTCATCACCATTCCTTGGCAGTGTCTCACATGGAACCTGGACACCCAAGCTCTGCTTTTTCTGACTTCCTTGGATGGAGCCCATCCCTTCCAGTCTTGCACTTCCGAATCATGACACTAGAGAGCAGCAAGAGAGCACAGACACTTTGGAAGACTGGCAGGCCATCTTGGATGCTCTTTCTCTTGGCTAGCCTATAGAGTTGGTAAGACACCCGCTGTAGATTCCTCTTGCTTGAATTGTATTCTCATTCCTTCGTGTTAGGAAAATTTCAAAAGACACATAAGCCAAAAGCTAATCATTGTAGTCCTTTTGAGAAGGCTTCCTCACTCCCCAGCAGTTTGCTTTAGCTAATCAAAATCAGCCAGGGTACTGATTATATACTCTATACTATGTTCCATGTTTTTAGGATTGAATGGGTTAAAAAAATGCAAAATGCTTTGAACATTGCTTGGCATATAAGAAATAAATCAAGCTTATTTTAAGGGGCCAATTAGGGCAGTGAATAAAAAGAAGCAACAAAAATAAAGGGGGCTTTTGAAATCCCAAAGGGGCTCTGTGAATCACTCCTTTCATTTGCTGAGCCCTTTCTGTAAGCTAGAACCCATGCCAAGTACTTTGCAAATATTATATCATAAACATACCAATGTTAAGAGAAAGGTCAGTATGTCTGTCTACCTTTTAACCACTGACATGGACTACATGTTTATATCTCCCCTGCCCCCAGATTTCTATGTTGAGATCCTAATATCCAATGTGAGAAGGTTGGACCTTTGGGTGATTAGGTTATGAGGGTGGAGCTCTCATGAGTGGGATTAGTGTCCTTATGTAGGAGATCTCCCTTCTCTCTTCTTCCATGTGAGGATACAGTGAGAACAGTGGTGTGTGAACTAGGAACAGGCTCTTACCAGACAACAAATCTGCCAGCATCTGATCTTGGACTTCCCAGCCTCCTGAACTATGAGAAATAAATGTTTAAGCCACTCCAGCTCTGGTATTTTAGTCATAACAGCCTGAGTAGTTTCAGAAAACCATGAAGAAAGAGATCAGAGAGATTATGCAACTTGCCCAAGGTCAGCCAGAATGTAAGTAGCGGAGTTGGGTTCAGTGCCACCTGTGTCAACTGTAGCATGCATCCTTTTAGCCTCCAAAATGGCGCCTCACCTGGTCAGGCCATTTCATTTGTTTATTGTTATTATTATTGTTGTGTTGCTGAGTCGCCTTTTGGAACTTGGAAAAAATAATGGCCCATATTAAATGAGGTAGAGTTGCAGAACTTTAGCAGAGTGCTAAGAATAGGATAGAGTTTGAGAGGTGGGTTTACTTGAATGAAACTCTTTTATATCCACCAAGCCCATCAACTGAATCTATTCTTCTGAAAGCCCAGAAGACTGTCCTTTCACTAAAGTTATAAGGAGTGTCCTGGTGAAGGGGCAGCAGCATTACTGAGAAGCGAAATAGTGGTTGTTCCTTGTAGTCTGGGCTGAGGTAGGACATGTTTATTGTCCTGTGCACCCAATTTACACTACCTCAGCCATGTGCTCAAGTTGATAAATGTCAGTAGGATGTACTCTTTATATGTTTTGAAGTGGTACTTGACCTCTGTATTCTTCCTCCTAAAACCCCATAACTCCAGTCTAAACATGAGAAAAATATCAGACACACCCAATTTAGGAATAGTCTAAAAAATACTGACCAGGTCCCCTCAGAACTGTCGAGGTCACCAAAAACAAGGAGAGTCTGAGAAACTGTCAGGGTCAAGAGGAACCTAGGGAGGTAAGACAACTACAGTGTGCCTGATGGAATCCTGGAACAGAAAGAGGCATTAGGTAAAAACCAACCAAGGGAATCATAATAAACCATGTACTTTATTTATTTTTTTTAATATATTTTTATTGATTTCAGAGAGGAAGGGAGAGGGAGAGATAGAAACATCCATGATGGGAGAGAATCATTGATTGGCTGCCTCCTGCATGCTCCACACTGGGGACCAAGCCCACAACCTGGGCATATGCCCTGACTGGGAATTGAACCATGACCTCCTGGTTCATAGGTCAATGCTGAACCACCTAGCCATGCTGGCCAGGCAACCATGTATTTAGTTAACAATAAGGTATCAATATTATTTTGTTAATCAATATAATGAATATACCACACTAATGCAAGATGTTAATAAGGGAAACTAGGTGTGGAGTATATGGGAACTCTATACTCTCTCCTTGACTTTTCTGTAAATCCCAAACTGTTGTAAAATATAAGGTCCATTAAAAAATCAAAACTTAAGACTTCAAAATAATTTTTCATATATTCCAGGTATTTCTAACCACTTCTCCCTCTACTCCCAAGCTCCTGCCTTCCCCCAACCCCCATTCTACCCAGATTTTCTTTTAACTCGTGTCCCTTAAGTAATGAGAGCCACCGACAAGTGTTAACCTGAGTGTTGCTGTTAGATCAGAACTTTAAGCAGAACACTCTGTCCTCTATGTGATGGGTGGATGGACAGAGGATAAAGAAAACTAGCTTGAAGGCCTTTGCAAAAGCTCTGGTAAGAAATGATCTCAGTCCAGGCCTGAGAGGTGTGTGTAGGGAGAGCCAGGACTTGATCGTTGGTGGGGAGTAGGGAAGAAGAGAGGAGGGGTGAGGAATGATGATGGTATCTCTGGTTTAGGTGAAAGCACAAGTGGTAATATTGTTCCTCAAGAGAGAGAATACCTAAGGAGGAAAGATAGTGACTGTTGCTGGAGTTGGGTGGGGTGGGGGGCGGGGATGCTAAATGCTATTCAGACCTATTGAGATTGGGTGCCTATGGAAGTATCAGTAAGGATGTCCCTGACTATTCTCATGCCTACGGGTAATGAGACAAACTGCCTGAGATGATGTGGTTAAATAGTTAAAGGCTGGTGATCCCCAGGAAAGACAGAGCTCAATGTCCTGAAATGATTGCTGGTGGTAAAGACTACAGAAATGTCAGAGAGGGTAAAGGATACAATGACCTTGAATTTGTATTTTTCCAGCTGATTCAGGATTTTGGCTTCCATGATTTCAGCTGGCCTAGCCTTTACTTCCTTTAGTGACACTGTCATACTCCCCATCAAAGACCGGTCCCAGGAGTTTCTCCTCTCCTCACCTTGCCCAATTCTGCTTCTAATACTGTTCTAAAATCTTCTTTAACCAAGTAGGCAGTGCATAAGACTCTTGGAAAACATGAGGACATTCTACAGAGAGAAAATCCAGGAAGGGACCAGAACCCAGAGGGAACTCTACTTCCTGCCCACCCCCTTGGGCTAAAATTGTGCTCCATGTGATAAGGCAGTGCTGGGCTGAGACAGCCAGATCCTCTTCCCCCACCAGAAAAACTTATCACCCCTTCAAAACTGGCAAGTGTTCCTTTGCTTTGGTGTCGGTTTGGTTTCATTTTAGAGGCTATTCAAAGTTTTGGGTGGTTTGGGGAACAAAGTTAGAGGAGGGGGTCAAGATATCTGTCCTCCTTTGGGAGTTGGCCAAGAGATGAGGGAACTCTACTTCCTGCCCACCCCCTTGGGCTAAAATTGTGCTCCATGTGATAAGGCAGTGCTGGGCTGAGACAGCCAGATCCTCTTCCCCCAACCAGAAAAACTTATCCCCCCTTCAAAACTGGCAAGTGTTCCTTTGCTTTGGTGTCGGTTTGGTTTCATTTTAGAGGCTATTCAAAGTTTTGGGTGGTTTGGGGAACAAAGTTAGAGGAGGGGGTCAAGATATCTGTCCTCCTTTGGGAGTTGGCCAAGAGATTCAGTTGCAACCATGGACCCATACATGGGGTTTTAATATGGTGAGAGGCAGAGAAACAAAAGCCAAAGAGAATACAGGATCCCAGACTTCCAGGATTTATTCTGTATCATTGTACACACTCACAGATTCTGCTATAATACTGGGGATGGCGTCAGAGTGACTATAGTAACTGTCCTCAGGCAGAGGTTCTGGCCACCTGAGGTTGGGATGGGGTGGGACTGGAGTCATCAGGAGTAGGTTCTGGGTAATAGCTCCCCCTCCCCCATCCCACTCTATCACAGAGACAAGCAGGGGGACAGGGTCAGGCAGGTTCACAGATGAGGTGGGCTCTCCAGACTGAGGGACCTGAGGTAAGTGAGGCCACTGGTTCAGCTCTCTCTTCGCTTATGTGCAGTGGCCTGAGGGCCTCTGGGATCTGGGGGTGGTTACTTATGCTTGAGAGGCCACTGCACCTCCTGCTTCTGCTGTTGCTCCTCTGCAGGGGGCAAGACTTCTCCCTTCAGTGGCTGCACTGGGTGGGTCTCTTGGGCCTGGCCAGGAGCTGGGACACATGCAGGTTGCTCGAGCTGCCCATCCAGTTGCTCTGCTGGCTCTGGCTGCTTCTCCTGCTGTCCCGGGTGCTCCAGGAGCTGCTCTCCTTTCTTCTCCAGTTGCTCCTCTCTCTTTGCTAGCTCTCCATCCAGTTGCTGTTCCGGGAGCTTCTCCTGTCCCAGCTGCTCCTTTAGCTGTTGCTCCCTTCGTGCTTTAGTCTCCTCCAGCTGCTGCTCCAAGTTTTCTGCTTCCTGGTCCTCACACTGTTCCTCTTGCTGCTGCTGCTGCCCTTTCTGCTCCTGTTGCTCCTCCTGCTGCTGCTGTTCCTGATGCTGCTGCTGTAGCTTCTGGGGCTGGGGCTCACAGTCTTGCTCCGGCACCCCCTTCACAGGAGTTGTGTGTTTCTCTCCTTGCTCCAAGGGGACCTCCCTTGGGAGCTCAGAGGGCACCTCCTGGCATGGGACAGGCAGTGGAGTTGGCTGCTTCACCTGCTCCTGCTGGATATCAGCGGGAGGAGGAACAGGCTTGAGGGTCTCCTGGCTGAGGGCTGGAGGCACGGTCACTGGCAGAGTGTGTTGCTGCTGGGACATCTTGGAAGCTGCTTCAGGTCACCCTGAAAAACAGAAGGGATCAGAGGGGTGGCTGAAGAGAGAAAGTAGAGGAATTCCCAAGCAATCAGTGCCTGGTTCCTCAGCAGCCCCTCTCGTCCCCGGGGCCGGGCCTCTCCCACCACCTCCAGCTGTCATTCCCCAGAAGCAGCAGAGGGAGGGTAGTGATGGGGAGAGGCAGGGAGAGGCCCTCCTGGGAGCCGCCTTTCCTGCAAGAGTTCTGTCTCCAGAGCTGCTCACAAGGGTGGGCTGGGAGCCACTCGGCCTTCTGCTGGCGACTCATCCTTGCCTCTCCTCATTTCTGACCTCCAAGGAGGAAAGGGTTTGGGGTCATAGCAGAAAGAGGTAAGGTCCTAGGAAAGTCCTGGAAGCCATTAGCCCATGATGGAGAGGAGGTGAGAGGTCATGGCGTGAGCCCTGGATTGGAGTCTCCTGACATATTCTTGGTTTAAATATCTCACTGAAATACTGTGTGCTCCTGGGCCAGGCACTTAGCCCTTCTGGGCCCCAGCTGTCTCCTCTTTAAAATGAGCAGGTTGGCCTATTAACTGCAGAGCTACTTTCATCATGAGCTCTGAACTTTCCCTGCAGCCCCAGTGCTCAGGTGAGGGGTGGCGGGAGGGGCAGCAACGTTGCTGAGAATGGAGCTGGCTCTTCCAAATCTCCACTTGTAAGTTTGGTTTTCCTGCCCCTGCTCTACCTGGGTTTCTCCAAATAGAAAGTTTTCTCCATTCTGAAGTTTCCCCTTTCCCACAGAGCCAAGAGTTACAAGCATTTCCCTGAAGCCTCTGCCCCCATAAGAGAGGCAAAATCACAGTCAACCTAAATCAAAGCATTTGAGGAAAGAATTTGGCCATATTCATGCTGCATCCTCATCTCACTGCCCCCACCCTCTGTCTCACTTACTCTTTCTCACATACACCACACACACACACACACACATTCCAAAACATGGCCCCAAGGAAAGCGGCGACTGGAGGAGATTGTCACCTTTTCTGTTTCCATCCCATGACACCTATCCCTCAGCACAGTGACCAGAGACCTTCTAGACGCACAGGTACTGCAGCTGAATCCAGTCCATGAGGATGCCTGCACCCACCCTGGCTGGCCCCCCAGCCGTGCTCTGCCTGTTGGACGCCCCCAGTTCCATCCCTAGGGGATGGCTCACACTTACCAGGCCCACAGCAAGGATGGCTGGACGGGCTTCTAGTGGAATGCTGAGCTGAGCTTAGCAGGGGCCAGGGCACCCTTTATACTGGTCCCAGACTGGCGGTCTTCCCAGGTTGAAGGAGATGGACTGGTTCCACCACTTCCTCCAGCCCCTCCCTGACACATCACAGGCACATGAAGTAAAAACCCCTCAGGGCCCCGTTTCACAGACAGACATAGCTCCTGACTGGCCAGAGGGCTCTGGGGGCTCAAGCACCACTGCCTCACTCATGACCTGGGCACAGGGAGGTGAGGGAGGCAGCTCAGGAACCAAGTTCCCTATTCCTATTGTTTTAGCCAAGCATCTCTGAATCTCAATTTCTCCACCTGTAGATTGGGTTTATCCCCATTACTAGGCAGAGATTCATTTCCAAGGGCAAGAAATGGAAAATTATGTTTCTCTCTGGAATGTCCACACAGGGTATGTGGTATAAAGGTGGTAAAATCCCTTCTCATGAAGAAGAGATGGGAATCGTGAAGGCTCTCTTAGCCATTAGCCCACAGCCACGTATTCTCAGGACCTATCTATAGCTCTATGCTGTCAGGAAATAAACCCTGTTTTTTTAGGCCCAATAGGGACAAATGGAAGGCTCATAGGAGTCTCCCGCTATGTGCCTTGGACTGCCCATGCCTAATATCCAAGGCTGTAGTTTAAAAGCTTCCAAGAATAAAAACTCATAGAAACTCCAAAAGATGGGCCACTCCAGGCAAGAAAACAGGCATTCAACATACAATATATAAAATAAGGATTGCTTTGTATGATGCTAAAACAACCACTTTCTAGACTTCTTTGGGAAATGCACAAAGGTATGAAGATGAAACCAAATCATCCATTGCTTTCCCCAAACCATTCCCTAAAAAGAGCTTAAGTAAAGTTTCAATGTGGGTACTGCAGCTCATCCCTCCCCAATACTGGTGGTGACTTGGCACATCCGAAATAAAGTCCAAACTCACTGCCCTGGGGTCAGAGACCCATGCTGAGGGCCCTCATTTCCCAGGAGGAGCTCAGTGCTCCCCACCTTGAAGCTTGTTGTTTCTAGGCCCCTGGCTCTTTGTGCCTCAGCATCAGCGGGAAGGTTGGGGTTGCCAGCAGCCTTCCCTGACAACCCATCTACAGGGTGATCTTCCGGTTCACTTTATGTCACTAGGAACAATTGTGGCCCTTTGTGTGCATTTGGTCACTTATCTATTTCCTGTCTCTCCCACTGGAAAATAAGCTTTATAAGGCAGGGGTTGCTTAGCCTGGAGTGTGCTCCACCATGTCACCAGAACCCATCATAGGCATCACATGGACTCAGTGCTCTACAACTGTTAAGTGAAGGAAGGAAGGAATGGACCGCGAATCTCACCACCTAGAGATAACTACTATCAAAGAATGTAGAGTGATGTGTGTGTGTGTGTGTGTGTGTGCGCAAAAAACAATTGTGATTGCTTTTTAATAATTGGTATATAGCTTATTCTATGGACATTATTTATTTAAACTCTCTTCTTTACAACCAAATAAAAATAGAACTGTTAGAACAATATGAAGACAAATACTCATTTCTGGGGCTCATTTTGAGAAGTGTCCTGATTCCTCGTGGATTTCCCAAAATGCACCTTTCTTCCAGCCCCAAGTAGATCAATTTACAATGCTAACTTAGCCATGCTCTAGGGAACTTAGTCTTGAAAGACAGATGGAGGGACTCCTGCCTCTGAAAGACTACCCTCTCCTTCTTCCTTTTCTGTTCCTCGAGCCCACCTGGGACTTTACTCTGCCTTCTCCATAGTGCAGGCACTGTGTCATTTTCTGGGGCTGGGGAAGTCCCCCTTCACCCTCCACCCCCACCTCTGCTCATGGAGAGCTACCCAAGCATCCTCACATGGGCACCCGTGGCCTTGAACTCTGCTGCTGACCTCACATGGCAGGAATCTGCCTCTCCCCAGCCCATGACAGTGAGTCCCAGGGCAGCAGACCCTGCTCCCGGAAGTCACACCGGTCTTATGGGTTTCTAGGGGTTGTATCTGCCAGATCTGCCCCCTGCCCTCTGATTCACAACATAATGAGAGCTTTTGGGGGAGACCGTGTGTGAGAGCCTTTAGTCACTGGGCAAAGTTAGGGTGTGGGAAGGAGGGAGGAGCATGAAGCTGAGGTGTGTGTGAATTGGACAGAAGGTGGAAGAGCCCCAACATTTTAAGGGCTCAGAGGCCTCATTCTCTGCCCTCTGGTTACCCCATTTGGGGGCCAGACATGCATGTATATCGGAGAGATTCCCTCAGTGCCTGTGTGAATGACCTCATAGGTCCACATGATGAGTGAGGGTAACTGTTTGGCCCCCATCCAATGTAATGAGGATGAGATCACATCCCATGACACCTACAGAGGCCTTGACCCCAGCTCTGCCCCAGCCCGAAAAGGCCCTGGCTCTTTCTCTTGCAGAGGCAAAAACCAGCAGGTATCTCTCTCTTGGAGTGAGGCAGCCTATGTGGACTGTTGTTTAGCTGTGGGAGGGCAGCATTCACTGCCCTGGCAGGTGGAGGGAGCTTTGAGAACAGCTTTTAGTTGGCAGTATGACAGCAGATGGCCCTAGGAATGTGACGTGGGCCAGGAGGTCTTGTGTGCCCTCTTATCTTGGGGAGCTATGCCTAGGCTATTTCTGGGTGAGGCAGTGGCCCCATATTCTGCAGCTGCTAAACTCAGATCCCTCCCCATAGGCCTTCTCCTCTGCCCAGGGCACTGTCAGTTATGCCATCTCAATCTGCACCTGCACTAGTCACCTCCCCATGGGCCCAGAATCCTCACCATCCTCCTCCATGGCCTCCTGAACCTGACCTTTGCCCCTCATTTGCCTTTTGTGCCCATATGCTGCTCCAGAGGGAGCAAGACAAGGAAGGGAGATGGGACCACGAAAGGGCCAAAAGGCTGATTCTTCCTCTGTGGGCGTTGGTGCTGGTCTGTCCGATGTGCCTGTTTGGCCTTCTTATGTCTTCTTCTGGCTTCTCTCTTGGCCTGTGGGATGGCTGGTCCCACTTCCAGTCCTAGTGCTGATTCTGCTCTGCTCACTGTGGTAGGCCAGTCCCAGGCCTGTTCTCGGTGCAGTAAGAGGAGCAAAGGCAGGCACAGCTGCCCGGGTGGGAAGAGGAGATGCTCAGTGTCCTCTCTTCCAGCTGAAAGAATGGCCCCTCCTGGGGCTCGCGGTTTGGGAAATCACATTCATTGTAGTTGATTCTTTGCAACAGAAGGCAGCAGCATGTCTGAGCTGGCGGGGCCTTGGAGAATGCATGTGTGACAGGTTGTATCAGGTGACCTCAGGCATCTTCCAATTGTGAACCAGTTATTTATTGTGGTCAGTTCTGGGTTTTGGGAGGAAGGGTCAGTTTTCCTTAGCTTGGATCCAGCCGAAATGCTCTTGGGATGACCCTCACTGGATCAGGGAACAGAGAGCTCTCCTTCCAGGCTGGTGCTGGTGTTGAAGTTTATCTTCACCTTATCCCACCTTGAGCATTGTTACTGTTCTGAAAGTGGTTGCAGAGGCCATGTAGATGCCTATGCAGTCATGTGTGTGCATGTGTGTTTATATGCATGTGTGTGTGTTTGTGTGTATATGAGTGTGTCTCTAAGTGTGTGAGTATATGTGTTTGTGTGTGTGTGTGTGCGGGGGGGACTGGGCAAATACCTGGTCCTAGAAGAGACATTTTTGCCAAGAGCAGTTAGTTGCTCAAATTTCCCTGCCTCTCTGGGGTCCTGCTGAGCCCCCGGAGCAGCCCCAGCTGGGTCCTTTCTACCTTCAGCTGTTCTCCGTACAGTGGACTATTTGCCAGGAAGCTGTCCCACTGCTCCAAGCTCCAGATGGGTTGGTCTGGTCCAGAGCATAAAACAGGGCCTATTTCTTCCTCCCTAAACCATGACTCCCGTTGACCATCTTCATCAAGTCTGACTCAGGGTAAGTGCTGACTGCCGGGGCTCCTAGGGCCAGTGTACTGGTGAGGGCCTTGGCCTACCACTTCCTCTCTAGTCTGTGGGAGATACAACCCCTGCCCCTGCTCTCAGGAAATGTCCATTGAATGGAGAGACAGACACAGAAATGGAGGGATGGGTGTAATTCATGCTGTGCACCTGACTAACGGGCCTGTGTATAGACGCAGGTGTGAGCAGACCAGGTTTGCACAATTCTCCCTGGGAGAATGCAAAAGAAACAAACCTTCAAAGCCTGCTGTTTACCAGACATGATGCTACACAGGCCTCATCCACTATCCCATTTAATCCTCTGCACTTAACAGATGAGGAGCTGAGGCTCAGAGCAGTGCAATGACTGGGCTATCGTCTCACAGTTGGATGAAGCTTGTCTCTGCTCCCAGGCCAACCTCTCCGCCTCTCTCTAAAGCAGAGGTTCTCAACCTGTGGGTCGTGACCCCTTTGGCGGTCGAACGACCCTTTCACAGGGGTTGCCTAAATACATATACATCCTGCATATCAGATATTTACATTACGATTCATAACAGTAGCAAAATTACAGTTATGAAGTAGCAACGAAAATAATTTTATAGTTGGGGACCACCACAACATGAGGAACTGTATTAAAGGGTTGCGGCATGAGGAAGGTTGAAAACCACTGCTGGCAGAGATGCCCATCAAGTGCAATAGACACTGAAGCCCTTCTGTGTCCCCTGGAAGAACCCAGGGTTGGCACAGGGGAAGACTGGAGAGCTGCAAACCAGAGACAAGCAAGCCAGAAACTGCTGGAGTGGCTGAAAGGTTCTTTTCCTGCCACTCAAGTTTTACAAGAAAGCCGGCTTGGAAAGGGATGGAGGGCCGTAAGGGGAGAGAGAGGTCAGGAGGAGAAAGGTGAGCCCAGAGTTCCTGTTACAGGTGAATCTGCTTGCTCAGCTCCAGCCTCACCCTTCTCTCTTCCTTGTACCCCAGCCTCCAGCACGTCTCCCAGGAGCCTCAGGCCCCAATCACCCTAGAACCGCCTCCCTCCCCAGCTAAGGATCCACGTCTGAGAAAGCTGGTGCTGGAGGGGCCT